GTTCTCTTTTTTCTTTTCTTTTTTGTTTTTTTTTCTTTGTCTCTCGGAGCGAACATTGGGAACTTACAGCTGGAGGTAAAAGCAACGAAGATATTTGTGAAAATTGATATTCATACGATACTTGTAACACACACACAGTCAAGTTTAACAATCGAGTTAATCACCGATGTTTGATTTATTAGTTTCCAAAGTTGAGCGCAATGCGCAACTAGTGTAACCGGCAGTTACGATGGCGCTGCATCGCTCGGTTGATCGTGAAATTCCTCTAATGATGCATCAGCTAGCCAACTATCGGCGAATTTATGAACGATTGGAGCGCCGGGGCTTTACCGAGGATTCAGCCTGCCCCTTAAGTGGATTTATGACGTGGTTGAGATTTCTTAGCTGTTCCCGGGATTAACAGCTTGCGCGCATTAGTACTTTGGGCCAGTTATGACGTGAAGAGATCTAGGGAGGCTTACGGAATTCGGTAATATCCGCGGTTCTCGCTAATATCGACGATAACCAGATCTATACACGGACACCGTGTAAACCAGATACCGTGGATTTTCATGCAAATTTAATTTCAACGGCGAGATCTGTCTCGTCTCTCGGAGAAGTCTCTTGTTTATTAAAATCACGACGATTCGGGAGAGACGACCCAGACGTGCATCGTTGTTCATTAGATTTTGTTCGCGAATTAACATCGATTGTACACAGAGAGTTATTTAGAATTATAAACTGGCGTTTATGCGGAATTTACTTTGCTTTAAATTACAAATTCCTCCAGTCTACCGCCGCCCTCAGCCACCTCTTTCTCCCTCCCTCCCTTTCTCTCTCTCTCTCTCTCTCTCTCTCTTTCTCTCTCTCTCTCTTCCACGTCAGACATTCTCGACTCGTGTAATAAATTTTAAATGTGCAGGTTTGTGAGGCTAAATTTTACTCCTCGAACGGGGTAAGTTCAACAATGCGATGAACGTTATATTAAATCCGAAACGCGAGAACTTCTTGCCCCGCGATATATATATTTTATATATATATATAAAACTCCGCCTCTTCAAACTGACACGGAATATTGAATTTCATTTCGATTTAGAAAATTTCCGAGGATGACACGTCTATTAATAAAATAACCTGTTTAATAAAATATGATACTCTTTTCTACTACTCAATATTTTACCTATTTCTGCGTATTAAACGGACCAACTTGCACCTTCAAATTCCTCTGCACTCCGGCAGAGAAAAATCCTTGGTCTAATGATCATTAGACGCATTTCTCCTCGTAACGTTGCACTCTCAAGTGCTGGAACATCAGAGTCGTTACAACGATCGACCATGTCAGCGGGGGCATTAAGCCGCGTACATAATCCGATGCGTGTCATAACGCAGACTGCGGGCAACGGCACGCACGCTGTATGGCTGGATTATGGGGTTGTTGACACTGGGGATCGTGTTGTATCGTGTCCCACAGGATTTCGTACAACTGCATTCGTATTCCGACGCGCTTCTTCTCCACGCGCGTGCGTGTAGATTGATCGCGACTCTCGAATCTCCAACAAAGGCGACTCGGCGAGTTCAAATTTATCGCACAAATGATCGTTGCTTGGTTAATTTGAATTTTCAACGACCGATTGAATTAATTGTGAAAGTTAATTAACCCGAAAACGGAAATTTATCGCGTCGCGTGGTGTCTTTTGAATACGTCTTTGAGACGCGAGTCGTGGAAATTTCGAATTTTGAGAGCTGGTGAACAGATACCCGGGGAAAAATCCATAGTATTCGCGTGCACGTACGAGTGGAACGCGCGTTACACGTGTAGGCGTTAGGGGAGAGCCATGCGAGCGCCTCCGGAATGCAATACGGTGGCTGGCAGCGTCGCATGGCTATTTAGGGGATCGAGCACGCGGAGTTCCAGAGAGGAGAGACGGTCGTAGCAAGGGTGATTGCCTGACCATCGGAGGGACAGACAGACAGCGACGCTCCTTTCCTTTTCTCAGTCTGTTTCTCTTCTAACTGGCATCGCCCAACTTCTTTCTGCCCTCTCGTCTCCTCGTCGCCCAACCGCCTTCCTCTTCTTTTCTACCCCTGCGTACATTGCCAGTCGCGTTTCCCTCGTTTCTCTTCTTTCAGTGTCCTCTCTTTGTCCTTCATTCTCTACTTCGGATCCTTCCGTCGCCGCTCTGGAACGCGACGCTATTGGTTACAGATAACACTGGCTGCCCTGGCTCTGTCGCGGACACTCTCGAGTGACTCCCTTTCGGGATTTTAAGCTCTTTCGGCTCTTTGTTTCGCGTTCGGTTCTACGTGTCGCGGCGTCCTGTCTGTAACAAGCTTCTGTCAACCGGAACCAAACGAACGGACCGAAGTAGCTCGAGCCCAAACTCGACACAGCAGAGTCATCTCTCAAACCTCTTCCTGATCGTTCCTCAATGTCGTTCAAAGAGGAAATCCCAACTTGGTTCAATTTAAAAGAACAATTCAGCCCGTAGATCCAACTAATGTCCAACAAACGTACCGAACTGCTTCCTCAAGATACTCAACAACGAGGCCCAGCGAACCTAACCAAAGTCCACGACAGATTCGTCTTGGTGTATCCTCGATTACGCGACCAATCGTCTTGAACACGTTTCAGAATGGAAAATCCGCCCGCAATCAGATACGCCGCAAGACCCAGCTGTTTATCCGGGACCCGTAGTCGTCTGATCCAGCGCAAGCAGGTGTCCTTACTGCAACATTAATTCGACGGGTGATACACTGTCGTGGAGGCCGCGCAATTCCTCCCTCGGTTTTTTAATATCATTCCGCCCCGTCCGTGTGCTCGGATGCCCAGGCTCTCTCCCATAACTCTTTTCCAGGCTTGTAGCCACTAGCTCTGTGTGTTCCTCTGACGCAGACGACGCAGACCCGGGTGGGGCGGATGGCGGAGGGGGAGGAATCCGCAGATGCGGCCTCGTCCTATCCGCTCGGCTGGCTCGCAGGCTCGCTCGAGCTTGCGAAAAGCCAGACCATTGACACCGGCGCTCGCTCCTATCCCAGGGCCATTGTTGTCCCGGTTAATAAAGAAAAATAAAGGCTCCTTCCAGCCTCCCTATCGTGGAATATTAACTCTCTCTCTCTCTCTCTACTCTCTTTGTTTTTTTCTCTTCTTACGAGCGAGCAAGGAGGGCGGGAGACCTTGCTCGGCGTCCGGTTTCCGCGTTGCTGGCTTCCGAGCTCCTTCGAAAATCCGCGCGTTTCCCTTTAATCCGTCCATTGATCGTCCGATCCACCCCGCCTCTGTCCACCCTCCCTACGTTTTATTTCTCGCGGTGAAAGCAAATTACCGAGCTCTCTTCCACCCAGCCGCGTCTCTTTGTGTCCCCGGCTGCGATAAAGATGTCTTTTTCTGTTTCACCGGGCCGGTGTTCTCCACCGGGACAAAGTTTCCCCGGGGACAGTCTGCTTCTCTCCCTGCTAGTGATCTTTTCGGTATTGTTCCTGAATTCTTCTCTGGAGACGGGGGAGGGAGTTAAACCGGCGATATGATTAGGATAATTGGGGTTTCCGTGTTTAAAAAAAAGGTGGAGAGGTTTCTTTCTTTTAGCTAGAAGAACTGACAGAATTCAAAAATCACGAAACTTCTTCGAAAAGCGTGAAAAGATCCCGAAGAATCGAAATTCGTCGTTCGCCAGTGTTCGAGGATCATCGACATTTGCAGGTGGTTCACGATACCCTCGGCTAATAAAGAAAACTAAAACCTTGCTGCTGGATATTAGCTTCGTGTTTTCTCTTCGTCTCCTCGTTTTCTCGCGCGCCCATGTATGTGTGTGTGTGCGCGTGGTTTTTTTTCTCCTCTTTGTACGGCAGGAAGAAAGATCAGAGAGACGATTCGCCACGGACGCGACGAAACTGTTGGTTCGTGACGCGGTTTCCAAGGATCTCGAGGAGATGGCGAATTTATGGCCGCCCTCACGGCTCGATTTTCCTGAAACATTGATCTCCCTTCCATCGTCACGAATTGTTTCGCGTCGCTCTCGCCCGATTGCATTGAATTGGATTTCCCGCGGACCACCGATACTCCTGTTCCGTTTCTGCCCGCTTCTGCGATTTTCAAATTGGGTCGGGAGTGTTTGCCTGATTTATACCTCGTTACATCGTAATTCCATCCGCTGGAACAAAATCGCGAGAAAGTCACCAACGAATCGTCCACGAAAGTACACTTACCTTTTCGAAAATTACAAAACGAAAGTGCTTACTTAGACTTAGAAGGTTACAATGAACTCAACGAAAATGTCCACGCACTTGCGGTGCAACAATGTCAATACCTTACATCGTAATTAGTGTGCCTGAAGGCAAACGTCTGAAATTCATCCCTCCCCCTTTGCTAATTAGCCACTCCCAAGAAACACGTGGCGGACATTAACGCAAAAGCGTTTGTAAAAAAATCCCTCAATTGGCGGAGTGTAACTTGCTTCCACAATTGATCGGCTCGAAATGGCGGAAAAGTGGAGTGGTAAACGTTTCGGTCTAGGCTCTCCCCGGCTCTCCGTACTTATTCAGCCACCCCTGGCTGAGAAATACTGAGAAATAGCACACTGGCGGCGAATTAACGCGAGCCGCTGTGCTCGCCTCCAAACATCTACAGCTTGCAATTAGGGATGGTAGCCGAAACTGTTCGATTGGTCATTCTTTCGCTCGAGCGGAACTGAATAATGACTCCCCTATGTCGAACATTCGACGCTCTGTATCGATGGAAACTCGATGACTGACTATTTTTCGGTGAACGAGGGTCCTGCGCTCGACACAGTTGCTACTGTTGATTCATGCGTCGTTAACTTGGCCCGTGGACCCTCGGTAATAATCGGGTTTCCTGAGGTTATGTTATCGGTGGATTTTTGAGGTTAGGAACGAAAACTGGGACAACATGGGTTTTTCTGTATATAGAAAAGCGAAATTTAGCAAAGATCAAATTTGTCACGAACAATCGTGAATATATTGATATGTTGGACGATCCCTTTCTAAGATTGTTGTTTCCATTTTTTACTGTTGCAGATTCGAAGATGAAGTGGCCATTAGTGCTGACTTGCTTTCTGCTGCCGCATTCGTGCATCCTTGGTGCATCGCATGCCGGTAAGTGGTTATTCTTGCAGTTTCTTATCCCGTAATCGCGGAATAAATTATATCGTCCGCAATCATCTTGTTATTCCGCGTATCGACCGTGTGACAGGCCGATGAATACCTTTCTTGCCTACCATCGCGGAATAAATTAAACGTGGTGCCCGTTTTTCATACTCGGCTCCATTATCCTCGAAATAGGCTGCCCATCCACTTCCCCTCTCCGTTTGACCTACCAAAATTTTCGCGACGTATCGTACAATTTTTTGAAATTTAAATACGGTTTTGAAGATAAACTAGAAGAATAATAATAATAGTTCTTAATAATACAAAATTCTTCTTAAAATTCTCTGGGAATTGAAAATAAATGTTTGAACTCGCTGAGCACGTGAAAATTATTGAAGAATCTTATATTAAAAATAAATATTTAATGCTAGAATTACCGGCGATTAAAGTATAAAATTCCCATCAAGGACTTTAAAGCGAAAGAAACTTTATAGTAGGATTTACTTTCGCATTTTGCAAAAAATCTATATAAACGCTAAAAAAATTTTCCACGAGTGAAGTATCCAGCAGAAATTATAAATTGATCATTTGAACTTCAACTTGCCAAAAATCCACTTTCTCTCTATTCATAAATCTCCCCTCGGGATGAAAACGGAGAAAAAAAAAAAAAAAAAATGTTCGATCACTCGAGGAACGACTCGTTAATAAATGTTCTCGGCCACGGCACAAGTCGTCAAAGGGTTGAACCAGACGATAAAACCGGCGCCACGATTTCCGGCTGCTATTATCGCGTCGTAAATCATCCCCTCGATCGACAGTTCGCCGAGGGGGTGCACGGAGGGGCGCAAACACCGCGTCATGCCATACCACCCCACGGTCTCGCGCAACGAGCCGTGAAAACGGGGCATCCAGGCCAGAAAAACAGTCGAATTGGATCCATTTTCCTCTTTCTATTAGCCTGGCCCGGCTGTGGACCGGGCACAAAACGCCTTAATCCACCCCTTGTTGCACCGAATCTGGCGCGAAGCCCTCGCGAGCGTAAGAATAGGCGTACTATAGCTCGCGAAAATGTAAATGATTTAGCAAAGACCCTAAGACACGTGACACTTCGAGTATATATGTTAATAGTATTTAATTATTTATAAAAGTTAATAGGCAAGCTTTTTAACAGTTCCAGAAATTTCTAGTAATTTAGAATAGGAAAGTTGTTGATTTGACAAAGATTTGGATATTCTCGTATCTCTAAAATTCTTGCCGGTATACGACAGAAAACGAGATTAGTTTCAGTCGAAACAGTGTCATCCTTTCAACGATGCGTCATGCGACTCGCGACATCCCTCACCGCGTGCACGGTACTTTAGGCCTGTCCTCGTGTAGGCACCACGTGGCCAGGATAAATTACCCTTGTCCTGGAGGAAGCACCGAGGGAGGAGAAACACGTTGTTCTTATTGTTTCGATTTCTCGTGCGATTAATCATCGCGCGGTAACCCTTTAGGGACGGATAGAGATTAGGGGAAGGAATTACACGCTGGTACGAACGTGGAGGACAATTTACGTATGTACGTATTTAGGTGAATCTTGGAGGATGAAAAGTTTCTTATGTATAAATTGTAGAATTACGTTTCATAATTCCGTGATATAAAAAACCGATTGGATACTTGGGCTTATCTTGGTTTGCGCAGTTCTTTGAAGAATGATCTCTGCTAAACTAGTTTCTCGTAGTTTTATACAATTTCTGCTAATGTGAACGTACCGAGAAAGTTGACCTGGAAACTTCTCTCAACCGAGGCAGTCGAAGGGAAAACTGTAGTTAGGTGATCGGTCAATTGATCGGTTGGCGGGCATTAAGCAAAGAAATGGCGGAATTTCCGTCGTTACGTAGTATCACGTGGTATTGTACGGTTAATTTGCATGTGAATGGATCGTAAAAGAACTGCCGGAGATAAGCTGAAAGCGCGTAAATATTTCCCGGGCTGTGCTAACTTCGGTAATAAACAGCTTAAAGGGTCGTGATCGTATAGCAGACGAAATTGTTCTGAATAGCGGAAACTGTAATCTTCATCTCGATTACGATCTCGTTCCGGGACATTATGCACCATTAGGAATATGTTATATCTGGCAGGTCGGGCTTGTAATAAATTCCTTAGCGTGGCTTATTACTATCATTAAAAGTGGAAGCCGATTCACTGGTGCGGCCAGGCAACATAGTTTCACGCGAAACTTATTTAGTTCGCCCGTGATAGTCTATTAGCCGCGTTAAATCTCGCTTAAGTTTGGAGCAGGTGGCACCGAGTGGCTTTTTTATTAAATTGTTATTAATCCTCCTCGCCAAGTGTGTATCCAAGATTTAGCTGGAATTCCCAAATTCTGCGGGCCCAGTTTCTACGCCTTGTCCACGCTGTTAAAAACTCAACGTGACCTTGCCTAAATTCCTGTACGTTCGTAATCTGCAAAATTGCTTCCTGCAACATGTTACGTAGGCCAGATTGTTTGCAGAGTGCGGCTACTTGGTTTTTCCTTACTCGTAGAATAGTAACACGTCGACCCAATTCCCAGTCCTATCCTACACTTATGTACGTACCTAATCACCGCAATTAGCTAGAACATAACTCACCATCAGACCTTGCCCGCAGCGCCCTCACATAACCTAACCGCACACATTTCGCTGTTCCCCTATTCGCAACGTTTGGTCCATTTTCTCAGTTGCGATCGTTAAAAGATTCGGCTTGAGCCTGTTTAAACTTGAGCTTCCATTCCGTTCAGACTCGGCTTCTTCCGTCTGAACAGATAAGTTTACTTATCTCGAGTAATATATCCTATCAATTCGCCTTCGTGTCTGACTCGGTGCAAGGTGACCAACCTAACCAATATCTATCAACTTTTACTCAATCCAATCTCGCTCAAAATCTCCGCTCTGTCTAAAACTCGTTCGCCAGCTCGCCGACTCGTTCTGAAAGAAAAGGGAAAAAAGCGAGAAAGAACAGAAAAAGAAAAAAAGGCAAGAAACGAGAAAAATAGACGAAATCTGAAGGGGGCGGGATCGATTGTTTCGCGAGGACCGTTAACGAGTTTCCAGCTTCTTAGTCGACGAGCGTGGCCAAAGCGGCACTTCAATCGACGTAGACGGCCGGCACCGTTAGTCTCGAAGCCGCCAATTAAGTCGAAAGGGGAAAGTCTCGTCGAGTTCTCCGATGCGGTTCCTTTGCCCTTCTGGCAAACCCGGCTAGGAGGGTGACTGCACTTTCGCCCTCCCCTTCCGCCCCTCGAGAGGGAGAGAGAACAGTGTCCGCCGTGTCTCGAGACCGCGTTGCGAGTTGCCAGACCGATGAACACGAACAGGGGGGATTGTCACGAAGATTTGCCTGTACGACGTCAAACGAGTCGCATACCGCTGGACAAGTGGCGAGTCGAGTGTTGCAGAGGGTTGGGGAACATGGCCGCCTGGAACGCGTGCCAGAACGCGGGAAAAGGCTATCGACCCCACTGTCACACCGCGTGCGACGTGTAATTGTTTCGGATTCGATCTCTGTTCCCTGCGTTCAGAGAATGGTCTGAGGATTTCGGGCGGTAATATACAGGGTGTTTCGTAACTTGTGGGATCCACTTCGGGAACTATACGTCTAAAAATAATGAAAAGGAGTCATACAAATGTATCTCTTATCTCTCTTCGTTCATGAGATATCAAGAATTTTCTGTTTTAATTTTTTTTCATTATTGAGATATCTGAAGGTATACATCTGAAGATTTTGTAAATCTACGTAGTAGTATTTAGTAGTATTAATGCAACGAAGAGCATAAATGTACCGAGGATTGAAAGATTGTCGATAATTTTAACTGATTTTGGCTTTGTAAAAAAAGAGATCCAATTGATCTCGTTTTGAAGTACTTCTGAGCTTCTTCTTTGACAGTCACGAATTCGTTCTTTTTGAAAATTGTCAAAATTCAAACGTCTCTAAGAACGACTGTTAAAAAACTTTTCTCGAAAATAAGTCTAAAGATTGATATCTTCCCTTTGTAACTCTTAAAACTTGTAATCGATTTTTTTTTTTTTTTTTTCATTGAACTTTGAATATCAGAGTCAAACGACAGAAATTGAAAGTTGCAAACCTGATGTTCGAAATTCAATAAAATGAAAGATGAATGTCGATGTTTAGGAACATGGTGGGCTTACTTCAAGTGGTGAAAGGAATTTAGAATCTTCCAAACCTAACCCAAAGTTGATTGTCGTCAACGCATGAAAAATACGTAAGAGGTTGAAAGTGGCTGACGACAATGGGCTTGGAACGGAGTATCAAGCGTCATTGTTCTCCTGACGGCCATTAACAAGTTCCGCAGTTACTTAGCCGATGTCCGCGAGTTTGCAAAGTGGCGGCGCCCCAATCGAGGACGTCTCTCGATGTCTCCGGTTAGCACGAAAGCTACCGTGGAACGTCAAAAAGTAAATTATTAACGATCTCCGCAACGTTAGCTTGTTCTCTTCCCGATGAAAATTCGATCTCGAAATATATACACCTGCCACTTGGGCTCTGTTTGATCTTCCTCCCTTGTTCTCGGAGATCACTCGATTGAAAATCGATGCTCCTTGAAACTTACAACGCATCTCAACCCATTTATTGGTTATTTCTTCCCCTAGAAAAGAGGGAATCATCGTTTTCCTTCTTAGCATGCTCTCCAAGCATCGTAATAACCTTATAACATAACAGCGTCGGTGCAATCGTCTTTCTTTTTTGCCTCTCACGGCTGCCAAGCAGCGAGAAGCTGTCACTCTGCGTCGTGGCATCGACGAGCGCGGCCTGAACGTCTGAACGAGCAATCAGACGAACGACAGAAGCTGTTTTAATGACGGCGAAAGCACAAACGACGGGTCGCGAAGTCGTTTGCGAGGCGCGATCCAAGAAGCTTCGAAGGCGTCTTACATCGATCTACTACCCCCCCGGGAAGAGACGAGAGAGAAACAGCTTAAAAAAAAAAAAAGGTTAGGCAAGCCTCGACGATGTCTTGATGTCGC